ATCTTCTGTGGTGGCTCGCAGGCAGGCCTCCGAGGCCACTGCAGGCCCGGAGGAGGGTACGAGCAAACTGGCTCTGAATGCCCAGCCGTATACTCTACATATGAAGCTCGTCCCTATTATCACTGAGTGCCACAATCCCACAAGTTTGAAATAATTCATCAACACGCGCTTCATCGGCCACGAGATCCTGTACCCGAATCATCCGCCCGACAACACTAGGCCTTCCCCACTACCCACGCCCCGATCCATTAAGCTGAAGTCAAACACAAGAAACCATTCGTTCACCCGACTGTGCATACTAGGGGCGCGACAACTCCCTGGAACCAGAGAAAACGTCACAAACAGCGAACGCCCAGCGACATCCTCACATAGACCCCCAAACCCGAAACATCCCCATAAACAACTCCCCAAAATCAAAGCAATCCCCCAAACCCCTAAAGTAGCGAACAGCCCTAAGCCCCAAACATACGAACTGTAAGACCAAAATGCAATTACAGGCAACCCCTAGCTCACCCATGACTCCGGGCCACTGATCCTGCTATGATCCATCCAACTTCAATATCGAACCAGGGTGCCCAGTACTCCTGAGTAGGGCTTTAGAAGGGGGGGCGGGGGGAGGGAACATTATACGATCATGAAATAGGGACTACGCGGGATGCTATTACTACAACTCCTATATTATGGGGGGTTTCAGGTTGAAGAGGGTCAGAGGGGCGCTTTTTGCCTCTCACTTCGCTAGGACCGCTAGGATGAGCCTGCTTAGAGTCGCAGCATGTAGTAGTCTGATCATACATGGGACTGTCATTATGATACGGTTGATGATATAAATCCTGCATCACCCCTAATAAGGACTATACAATAATTCCCATAGTTTAGGGTCCTCAGGGTCATGCAGGATTTATATCATCAACCGTAGGCATGACCTCTTTATGATAAACCCATCTAGGGTACTCAAACTGGACCCTGAGTCGCCTGAAATGGTTTCAGGGTTCATGCCTTTAAGGCTTGGAGCTTAGGATCAAGAGACTGTATATAATCCAACTTCTGGCCCGACTTGCCCAAGGCTTTACACAGACTTGGCCTGGACGCATTAGGGTTTCGATTGGCGCACTCGCTCAAGGCAAGGGTTGCAGGGCAGTGTGCAGGGATCCCCACTATGAAAATTCAAGCACATGTGTTTGAAGTCAATATCGGGCTGGCGTCTATGCAGGCTTTCGTGTTTGAGGAAACACATCTTACCAGCTTTGATGATGAAGGCTTCTTCATACATACATATGTGCACGGCAACTGAGGGGTAGTGGGCTCTCTGGTGAGCAGCTGCCACTTCATAACGGCCAAGCCGAGTTTGTGCACTGGGGACGTAGCTTGAAAGGTTTCGTTCCTCCCTTCCAAGACGGAGGCAGACGATTGCAATTCGAGTTTGATTGCGGCTGACGGTCTCGAGGGTTTAGACATCAGATGTCTGAAACTGCGGCAGGCTGCAAAAAAAACTGTGGCGTGAATGGCAGCATTGCGGCTCTGGGGAGAAAATTTCATTGTGGGATGCTGAACAATAACATTCGGAGGAGAAATGCTGCCGCAAATCTGTAACGTATGCTTTCTTGTCGGTTTGGCTGGCCCTGGGGCACATCCGCTGTCTGCAGACTGCGCCACAGTGACGCATGGGGTCTCGCTGCCTAAGCCTCTGCAGAACTTCCCCCCGCCACATTCGTGGTCTGCTAGAGGAATTGGCGGTTGTTCAACATGACGCCTCCCTTCCGATAAACCCTCATCCCCCCGAAAAGCACCTGTTCTAAAGGGGCCAGCTCAGATAACTTGATTTCAAACAACCGCCAGATGGGGGTTTCCGAAAACAGGGGACCCTACTATAGCACCCTAAACAGTAGGATCCTTATAATAAGGACCCCCAAAATAAGGTACCCTAGTTTCCCGAAACTCCCAGATGAACAGGCTTTCATACTTCGATCCTGCCAAGCATGTGTTGGACATGCCATGCCAACAGGGCCCAAATGGCCTCCTCCCCTTCCTCCTTCAAGAATCTTATGGGTAACCATATAGGCCCCTAAGTAGTTCCCTTTTTGTGCTTTATATTTAGGATCCTATAAGGTAATCCCAAAAAGGAACTACTTAGGGGCCCTATGGGTACTTCCGATGGCAGGCCAGACCTCAAAGGTGCACCACATAATTCACACAAACCCGTATGTTGCAGCCAGGCGGTGCAGCCGGGTCTTCGAGACTCACTTGTCGCGCTCTGCAATTCCTTTACTTGCAATAACGAACCCGAGAACATAAAGAATCTGAACATGAACTTTCAGAAAAATACCCCTCTACAAACTTTCAAAAAATACTCCCTTACACAAAAAATATGTATGCTTGTTGGTGAGGCGAGAGGCTGGGCATCGTGCATGCGGCTCATGTCGCTCGATGTGTCTGGCTGCGACTCTTCATCCCCGTCCTTGGCAGTCTTTTCAATCTCCTACTCAGTATCTGCGGACCTGAGCTGTAGGGTCTTTATTTCAAAAAGTCATGGCAGGTCGGTCTCTGCAGTATCAGAAGGCCAAGATGCCAACATCTCCCGCAAGGTCTTGATGGACTTCTTGAAGGCTTCAGGATCGCGCTCAACCCAGAGCCGGAATTCTTCCAGGTCATCGATCTGACGGAACATTTGCTCGGTCTCTTTTAGTCTGGCTGCCCGCTGCATCGACCAAAGCGCTTTGTCTGACATGCGAGGCCAGGCTGTCGGGAAGAAGTCGGAAGTCGGAGGATTGAGCCAAAAGGCTTGGCAAGTAGAACTTCCAGTATCCAGCGACGAGGAGGAGGCCGACGACGGTCACTGTAGCTGCTGCTGCTGCTCCCACTGCTGCTGCTCCTCTTCGTCTTCCCTTCCCACTCCTCCTCCTCCTCCTCGACCACCTCCTACTGGTACTACCACCGCAACTGCTACTACTACTGCCGCTACCGTACGACCACTACCACTGCTGCTGCTGCTGCTCCTACTACTACTACTACTACTACTACTGCTCTACTTCTTGCGCTACTACTACTCCTACTCCTACTCCTACTGGCACGGCTACGGCTACGGCTGCGGCTGCTGCTGCTGCTGCGACTGTTGCTGCTGCTTCTGCTACTGCTACGACGACGACTACTGCTACTGCTACAGCTACTGGTGATGCTACAGGCCGCCGCCGCCGCCTCCACCACCACCTGCTGCTGCTGCTGCTGCTGCTACGGCTTATGCCACTGCTTGATAAAGCTGCTGCATCGGAATTCTGGAAGCAAACGAGTTGGAGTAGCAACAAGCGGGGAGAAGCAGGATGGTGCAGTGTAAGCATGGCAAAACATGCACGCGAAGTCTAAAACTATGACCCTTTTTCCACAGGCTTGAACTGAGCTCTCCCGGCCTGACCCTTAATCCCTTAACATTATGACACAATGAAGTGTGAAATGCAACTTCAAGCTGGAACCCACATGCTGATGCTGGGCAAAATGGGCCCGAAGTGTCAGGGTTGCCAACTCGGAACGCACCCGTTCTGCACATGAATCTCAGTTGGACCGGACCTACAAACCTACATCTGCATCTGCGGTAAAGCGGCAAGAAAGGGAGTGCAGTCTGGCACATATTTCAGATTCTGCCTGTGAGTCAGTCTTCGATGTCTGTTGTGCTTGGGGTTGTTCTAGAACGATTCCCTTGGCATCCTAGACAGAGCACGCAATTGTTTAAACAAGTGCTTCGAAGCTAACCCTGTCCCGTAAGTTGTAAACGCTACAAACCCATGTTAGAACAACCTCCAACTCGCCTCACTAAAACGCACGGCTGCATCAGAGTGACGAGGTCTCTCAAAGTTCCTCCCTCCAGGCGGAATATATATATATATATATATCAAAGTTGCAGCGGTTCAAGTGCAAGCCGGAAACATTCTGTTTAACTTGGTAGTATTGAAGAGCTGCCCTGATTACTACGACTATGATGTTCTGGACACTTTTCTTGTATAAACGTAGCAAGAATAGGATCTTGTGGTCGGCTCCGCCTTGACGCGGCAGCGGCGAACTTCCAGCTTTTTTGCTGACACACCGTTGCACTTGTCAAGACCGTCGCACCGCCTGGAGCCTCATCCAAAGTGTCGGACATGGATAAGTTCTACTCATCCATGCATTCCGGGAGCAGGTCCAATGCTTGAACACAAACTTGCAGCTTTCGCTGCCGCATGCCAAACCGGCACACACCCAAATCACGAAGGGCTTATGGGCTTGTCGAGTTGTGGCTGAAGCTCTTTGCTGGTGCCGATCGTGTCGGGGAGACAGCGGGTTGGACATGAAAGATTCAACTGAATCAGGCGGTCGAGCAGCTCGTTCGGAAAAGCAGATTTCACGAAGCCTCTCTTACAGCGGAACAGAACCAATAGCCCGCGCAACCGCAGGCATTGACGTACTTATTGCCCAACTCCCTGCTACAACTAATGTAGCTAACTAACAGTAGGACTCAGTAGGAAACAAATCACATAATTACCAAATACATATGAAAGTCGTAGACTATTGCAATCGCAATAATCGTCATCTGTGGGCCATCGCCATCACGTATCATGATAGGTCTTGGACATGGAAGTCAGAAGGCCCCCCGAACCCTCGACCTCCCGAAACCCCCTACAGTAAGCCCTACCTTTGGCTCAAAAGACGTAATTACCTTTTTGAGGATTATATATGTATATATAGAAACCATAAAAAGGAACGCTACAAGTAAACCCTAAATCCCAAACCCTACCGAGGCTCATGACCTGAGCTGCAAGGTCCCACTACTACTGTACATGTAGTTTTCATTTGGGGGGGGTTCAAGGTTCAGCCCAGCCGAAAGCGGAAGAAAGGAGACGAACCGATACTGTGCTGCGAGCCTGAAAGCAGAGCATGGAGGTTCCCTCTAGGTAGAAGACAGCGTTTTAACATCCAAGCTCTTCGGCCAGGGGCTGAACAAAAGGACCTCCTCAGGTCCTCCTAACTGTAAGACCTTAAAGGCTTACCGTGCGTCGATTGCACGCCCGGTCCCCGCAAACATGCGGGATTGCAATTGTTGGTTGGTCCACAGAGCAATCGTCATCCGACTTGAAATCGGGGTTGAGATGACCCATACCTCAGATTCGCAGGTTTAGGTCCGAAACATCATTGAGCGCCTTGCTACAGGCGGACTACGTTTTGTAACGCGTCAAAGTTGTTCAGGCAGAAAAGGCTGCCCAACACAACTCGTCAGCAGAATCGCAGCGGTCTGTGGAAACACTTGCAACAAAAGATGCTCGAGCCCGGTTGCTGGTCTTGCTTGAAGTTGTGTGATCAGTGGCTGAAAGACCAAAGAACCTCCGGCGCGCTGCAATCATCTTCTCCAACCGCTTTGGATTCCGGTCGACGGCCGTCAAGAACTTCTGCAGCTTTACCAGGCGAACTTCGTCGCAGCTCTGGCGATGCTTCTCATGCGCATGGGGCATGGAAGGCAACGCCTCGACTGCATTCGATGCGGCGCGCTTGTGTGTCGTGTGTTCTCCATGCGCATGGGGCTTGGAAGGGGACAACATGGCACTTTGCCTCACCGGACGACCTCTATGTTTGGGCCACAACTGTCGCGGTTAGTGCCTTCAGAAATCAAAGCACCAAGCTCACTGTCGACGATGAGCAGAACAACAACAAGCACCACCACCGCACGACGACGGGGGCGACAGCGGCGACGACGACCGCAACACCACCACCACCACCACCACCACCACCAGCAGCAGCAGCAGCAGCAGCAGCAGTGGCAGCAGTGGAAGAACAGAAGCGGCAGCAGCGGCAGCACCGGCACCATCCACCACCAGCACCAGCTTGAATACTATGGATCGGTAGCACACAATCTGAGTCGTAAGCTTTCGGCAGATTCTTGAGCCTGAGCTCGCATATTTGAGCCACGACGTTGCGCATCAGGCGGCGCACTTGAAAGGATTGGTACGATCAGCAAAGCAGTATTGTCCGTGTCCATAGTCTGCTAAGCAGGCCTATGACACTGCACTCATAGCCCATATTGCGACACCCAACGAATTGAACTAGGTATCGAGGTCCGTTCGCAACAACAACAGCAACAGCAACAACAACAACAACTACTACTACTACTACTACTACTTCTACTACTACTACTACTACTACTACCACAACAACAACTACTACTACTACTACTACTACTACGACGACTACGACCACGACGACTACGACTACGACCACGACTGCGACTGCGACTGCGACTGCGACTACGACTACGACGACGATTACTACTACTACTACTACTACTACTGCTGCTACTGCTACTGCTACTGCTACTGCTACTGCTACTGCTACTGCTACTGCTACTACTACTACTACTACTACCACCACGACTACGAC